TAGTTTAGAAAGTCCTCTAACATGCGTAGATCGAAAATAAGAAAAACAATACAACAAACATTTCGTCGAAAACTAAAGGCTGCTGTTGACAGTTTATTTATTAAAAAATCAAAAACATTTTGAAAATGTTGATTTCTATTTAAGATAATCTATTCAGGATTCCCAGAAAAATTAGGTCTAAAAAATATTTTGGGAAATAATATATGCGATTTAGTGATGAAGAAATTCGTGCTGTATTACGAGTACATATTTATTTCAGCTTTCTGCGTAAAATTTTTACAATAATACTAGATAATGTAATAAAAAACCGTCCAAGTTCAAAACTGATAAAACTTATTGCCAAATGTCAACGTTGACATACATAGATACAGCCGTTCTTGTAATTTTTACTTATATGATAAGAGTAAAAGCTAAACTTTTCGCGGTTCACTGAAGGCACTGAAATTCAGTAAACAGTAATCAATTGGATGAAAACAACTTTATAAACAAGGTGCGATCTTCGATATCCACGTGGCTTATACTTCCCAGTACAAAATAATAAATAAACAAATAAATATTTTTCAAGAACCTGTTTTTTCTTTTGTCTTTTCAATTGAACAAAAAAGTCCTGGTTGACCTTTATGCAAGTCTTACGAAATTTTTTAGATCATTTATTGTTGTTAACATGCTTCGATCGGTACCGCAATGACGTTGATCATTCTTTGGTCGCGAGATATGTATCGTGCAGGAAAAACGTGACCACATATGAGGATTGAAAATTATGACTTTGATTTTCGAACTCACTTCAATCAATAACTTAACCCTAAGACTGAGAATTTAAAATGAGACATCTAAAAAATATACTTTAGGCTAATAATTTGTTTTACATTTTGAAAATTGACGGCTTATTTCTTCATAAAATTATTGGTTTCAGTTTCTTCAAATCTCTAATTAAAAATGACAAATGGTATATGAGTTTTCTTAAAAAGGATCCAACCCTTCATAGAAAATACCTAGTTATGGTGGCAACGAAAGAAAATGCTGAACTGTTTCCGAATCAAATAACAATTCTTGCCTTAGAATAGAATAACTGCCAAATTTTAGAGTATTTAATAAAAAAGATTGGAAGACCAACATCTCCTTTGACTTTTGGATCTCATGGTGATAACTTTTTGTCATGTTTTAGTAGTAAATTAAGTGGTAATCATTCATTATAGGTGACCAAAATTAAATAGAAAACTAACCTGAAGGATCCCTACTGTCCCTTATGGAATATTTCAAATCTTGAAACTCTATATCCACAGGGGGTGTGTTGGCAATTTTCCTAAGTAGATTACACTTTTTTCCGCTCACCATTAGATCAGTTTCCGTCTCATTTTCCATTTTTCCGAAAATTTAATTTACACTGACGAAAAACGGGAAAAGCCAAACGTCGACGGACTTAATCGTAAGTCTTTGAAACGTAAGTAGATGTGCGCGATAGTTTTCAGAAGTTTCGGCGTTCAGGACCGACCAACTGAATGGACCATGAGCAACAAGCACTTTCACCTTTCGTTTAATACCGGCGAACCGTTCTTCCTTGTATCGGAATGAGTCCGCAATGACTGACGCGACCGATTATAAACAAAAAGAATCGTTCAGCTGACCGTGGACGTCGTCGATAGTAGTTATTACGAAAAAAATTAAACTGGTCCTGATACCATTTATTTTGCGTTAATGAAGGCGTACATGTCTGCGAGCAGTAGCGCTTTGTACAAATGACTGGTGTACATGGCATTCGTGGATTTCTATCGTTTTGTAGTACAGAGAAGTAAAGGCTTTTGACCCGAGCAATGGAAAGACTGTTTTAGATTGCACCTAATTGCATTAGGCAACGGTAAATTGCAAGACAATGTGAAAAAATATGTCGTAGGAAAATCATGTTGGAGAAGGATGAGACATCCCTTTTTTTTCTTGGCGAAAATTGCCCTTTTTAATTTTGGTGCATGCCATAAATTTTTGTAGACACTATATCAAATACTTAACGAAAAATAATCTTATCGTCTTATCGATTCTGGCAATTGTCATTATTTCGGTACCTGCTAAGTTTTGTGTAGAAACCTATCAATCATATACGAATATACATATACAGGTCCATGTATGTCTGTTGAATCAACTGGTCGTATAAGAAAAGGCACGGAAATCAAATACAGTTTTCCAACGAAATGATTTTGGGCATCATCATAAGATCGTCAGTCTGAAGACTGGTTGGACTCACACCTCCACTCTTTCCTATCCCAAGTTAATCTTCGCATTTCCCTAAAATTAGAACAACCCACATCCTTAACTATTTGCGAACAGTAATCTAATCTAGGTCTACCTCTACCCCTCCTAACTCCCGTTTCTACCTCGAATATATCTCTGACTAGACCTTCATGCCTGAGAAGGTGTCCTACCAACCTATCTCCATCCACGGTATCATTCGCCTGTAACCACATTTCGAACGCTTCTAACCTTTTCCTTTCTGCAGCGCTCACCGTCCATGTTTCGCACCCGTACAGCACCGTGCTCCAAACATACACAGAATCTTTTTCGAATTTCTAAATTAACCGTTCGCGAGCATAGAAGTGACTTCATTTTATTGAAGGCGACTACACCCTGCTCTATGCTCTGCTTTATATCCCTACTGCTCCATCCGTCCTGACTTATCTGACTTCCTAGATACCTAAAATCAGTCACTTCTTCTAATTTTTCGTCTCCTATCTTTATATTCGCTCTTTCCCTACTTTTTCTTGCCTTGCAAACCAGTATTTTTGTTTTACTTGTATTTATTTTCATACAGTACTGTTTTGTCAACATTCCTTCTATTTTATTCAATGCTATCTCTAACTCCTCCTTGCTAGATGCTAATACTGCTGTATCATCTGCAAATCAAAGCATACTAATCTTTTGTCCCTGTATATCTATCCTTAGAGTTTTACTGTCTTTAATGATGTTGTTCGCGTCTTCGATGTATAGATTAAAAAGTAGTTTTTTTGGCTTTATGATCACTCCTTGAAGTAATAATTGGAATCAATATCATCGTTTAATAGAACTCAACTTGGCCAATCTTCCGATCCGGATCCACTAAATTGAAGGTCAAGGAAAGTTTAGGGAAAACCCATTCAAATGGTATCATTTTAGACATAAATACTGTATTTTGGACACTACTGGCGAAAGAGAGTTTACAACATCGTCTCAGTGTTGCAGTAATCTACTCCACAATTCTATTGTTCCCAGGAGCTTTGGGCAGAACTATAATATTTATGGAGGTTATCGCCTCATAAAACCTAGGTTGCGGTATGTTAGGTTTTAATCGGTAAAACTTTTACTCTCCAACATCCCCAGGTCTTTGCCTAGCCCTTCTTATGGGTTATGTATGATGACTCAAATGCAGTATCTATTTTTTGCTAAAATGAGACAAAGATCATCTTCTATTATGTGCGCTGGGAGTGGATATCATTTGAAACGTTTTGACCTCAGTTTTCTAAAAAGGTATCACACGGCCCCCAATTCAGTGGATTTGATTCGGAAGATTCACTCTTGTAATTTCAATACAATATTCTCATGTTACGATTAAAATCAGCAAGGCTTTCCCTGTAGGTATTGGTTTATCATGCAGTTATACAAAAGTTGAATCAAAAGTAGTGTAATTAATCTATTAGGGAATAGTTAGCTTCGTTAATAATCAAAACATAAATTCTTTTTAAGAATGATTCTTTCTATTTACTTCTAATGAAAAGATACTTAGTTGTATTATTTTAAATTAGACATAAATACTGGACTATACGTTATTTATTAATGAAACTGAAAAATTGTACTTTAATTGTTTGCGTTTGTACAATTTACCAACGGTCAATGTCCTACAACGTTTACCAATAAAGGTGAACGATCAAGATGTGATTAAACAAATATTCTTGAGTGACAAGATTTATTTGATATCTTGTTTTCCTTTAAAAAAGGCAGTGAAAAGTGCTGAGTCTTCCTTTTTTTTATTTGAAACTGGATACCTAAACTCGTCAGCATAGTGACTCTCTGGTGACTAGACTATAGGTACATAACTACTATAAATTCGTATAATATGAATAAGAAAACCACTTGGATTACTTCACAATTTCCATTTATTACCCGATGATACGCTTTCTGCTTTTGCAGCATATTATCAAAAGAGTTCCTCAAATACTAACACTTCTTAATGGTGTAAAAACTGAAACGAAACAAGTGTCTTTACTACAAATCGGGTAAAAACGATACAAGTTGTAACATGGCTTAAAATATGTATTGTTATAAACCTCTAATAAACAATAAGGGTTTTCATAGAACGAAAGTAAAAAAGAATAGATTCGACGCTCAGTTGTTGTCAGAAATTTTCCAGTGATACCAAACCTCTGCTGGTTGAACGAAATCTAAAAATTTTGTACCTTGTACGTTGACTTTACATTAAGTATCTGGCAATACTACAGATAGGTTACATTTACCACAAGGATGTTGTACATAACGAGACAGACAGTTTGGATTGTCATAGTAGCTTCAGTATTAATTTGGATTTTGTATCATGGAATGGTTTTATACTGTTTGCCGACTGTATTGGTGGGTTACATTTACCACAGGGGTGATGTATTGTAAATCACAAGGTATCATAATCTTCTTCTTCTAATGCTGTGCAGATTTCTGCGAAGGCGTTCATCATTTTCTTATCATATGGCTCTGTTAATTGTAGTATGTTGTAGTGTTTGGAAGTCTTTCATCCTAGTCCATTGGCGGATAATTCTTAGCCACGATAATCTTTTTCTGCCTATTCCCTTTCTCCCTCCTTCAGTTTTATCTTGCAGAATTAGGCGTTGAAAGTGGTAGCGTTCTCCGCGCAGTACGTGTCCGAGATAACCTATCTTTCTTTTTTTTTGATATTTTTCAAGAGTTTTCGTTCTGCTAGACCGGCTTTCCGGAGAATGTCCTCATTTCTCACATGATCGACCCAAGACACCCTTAACATTCGCCTCAAGATCCACATTTCAAAGGCTTTGGTATTTTCAGCGTCCATGCCTCAACAAGACATAGCATTTTACCATCCTATGTTCAGGTTTTTGTCTGTAAGAAATCTTCGAAGTATTAGTAACGTTGTTCTGTCATGTTCGATCCTGCATCTGATCTCTTGATCCAGATCCCATCCTTCGTTAACCATGTCCAAGTATTTAAACTGAATGACCTGTTCGATGTTCTCTTCATTAATAAGTATACGAGTGTGAGGAATATCGTTCCTACTATTAACAATCATAAACTTGGTTTTGCTGATGTTAATTTTTAAACCTAGTTTTTGGCTTTCTTCACTGACTCGATTTAGTAGACGTTGGAGATCATGTGCGTTATCTGCTCATATCACGGGTTCATCCGCATACCGGATATTGTTATTGGGATTCCGTTTACTATAATTCCGAAGGGTTTATCTCAGATTGGTTTGGAGAGTGCTTTTTCTGATACGTACAGGTTGAATAACATTGGGGACAGCAAACATCCTTGGCGGACGCCTTTTTTTAATTTCAAAATCTTTTGTTGTTCTAGCGTTTCCTATTATAGCAACTGTCTGCCATGTTACTTACATTATTTCTATAGTAAATGTAATAATAACATCGGCAGACGGTGTAAGGTCTACGATTTTCATAAGACAAAAGTAAAAGAAAAATAACTTGGACGCTCAATTGTTGGTAGTCGGTTTCCAAGGATACCAAACTTCTCCTGGTTGAATGAAATCGAAACCAACTGTCTGTCTCGCTATTTTCACCTGTCAAAACTATTGGCAGACGGTAAAAGGTCAATATGAGATACAAAACTTTTCGATTGATTTTATTTTACCAGAAGAGGGGTAATATCATCAGAAACCGTCTACCGATAACTGATAAATTTTTCTTTTTCTTTCGTTTAACAAAAATGACAGATAGCTTAGGGGTTTTAGCCATTACTTAGCATTCGGGTTCGCTTGGCTTGGTTCAAATTTTTCTGTGGTTTCCTTGTACCACTTAAGCAAATTTTCTACGAAAATGACAAATAGCTTAGAGGTTTAGGTCATTACTTAGCATTCGGGTTCGATTTCGGGTTTGCTTGGCTTGGTTTAAATTTTTCTGTGGTTTCCTTGGACCACTTTAGCAAATACCGGGGCAGTAATATTTCACAGATTTTATTGTTAATATGTTCTACTAAATGACCACCTTATTTCCGATATATTAATTCGACTTGAAAAGGATGAAATTACATTATCCCAATGGTTTTACCCACAGTTCTTGTACGCATCAATAGGTACGCAAGGAAATCAGTATAAGCCGAGAATTGCTTTCTCGGTTTGAAGGCATCGCTTCTCTATATTTTACTGTTGTTAAACCTACTGCTAACCCATACGGGTGTCTCGTCGTCTCATGACTTTAGCCACTTTAACCATTAGCAAATATGGTAGGTAGGTACCTTTAACCAAGGCCAGAAACGACCGGTGTCAATTCAACATTGTTGCTGTAAATGCAATGATAACCACTAATAACAATAAATATAAAAACTGAAATCATTAATTATCAAGGCAGAAATTTGGATTAAACAATTTGGATATATTAAGGGAACAAGACGACATTTGCGTTAGAAAATATTTTGAGTTGTCAAAGTTTAAATTTTAATGAGATTGGAATTCAGAAAAGCTTGTCCTTCGTCATTTTCGCGATAGCATTAACATCACTATAGACAATAACTTGAATTTTCTATGAAATGAATGTAAAAAGGTAATATAAAATTATGTTTTGCGAATAGAAATTTTAAATAATGTATAATATATTTATTTTATGCAATTTAGATGTTTATTAGGTACTATATTAAAATCAGAATACTGTATTTAATTCGGTTGTATTTAATTTATATTACGTTTCCTAAAATTACACTACAGAGTATATTAATTGTAGGTAGGTAAGGTACTTAAAATCTCACAATAAGATAAGTATGAGTATATATAATTTAGATGGAAATTTATTAAAATTTGGATGTATTAAATTTCAAACGCAGTTCTTTTGCATTATTATTCATGAATTTAAAAGAAAACAGTATTTTTTGATTGTTAATAACTCAAACATTTCAATCTAAATAGCAATTTTTTATAGTTACGTATTAGTCGGTTCATCTCGCGTCTATTGTATGAGTCAATAAAAGATAAGCAAAAAAGAAAGACCAATAAAACACGTAATAATTCATTGTTATTCAAAAAGCTTGCGAATGTTGGAGAACCAGTTACAGAATTAAACAAATAATGACAGTAAAAATATTCAGTGAAGTTGTAAACTTTTCTGTAATCTGACAGGAAATCTAGTCAATATAGATTCATGTTAATACTTACTATGCAGTATTCAATAATTCATTTTTACGAAAGGATCAAAAAGTTCGTTAACTATTACAGCGATATAGGAAATGTTACGTAATCGGTTAAGAACATTGTTTAAATAAATGCCTAATATTATGTGCAATTTTAGAAAGAAAGCAAATCGTTTAGATAAAGTGAAAGCTAAAACGCAAAGGAAAAGCAAATATTACGCATTAGATTTGTAATAATTTAGCGAAAACCATTGTTTATGAAAGAAATTTCTAATTGCTACTTAAAAAAGGAAGTGACTTATCGATGGATTTAAAAATAAAATTTCTTTTAGTTAATTGAGTTCAAGTGTAGGCATTTAGTTTGTTTTGTTGACTGTTTAACTGTAAGTGTCTTTTAATTGATTCTAGCAACACAGATTACAAGATAAATGGTTGAATTTTAATTTAATCGCCATTATAATTTCATTCGCAAGAAATATGTGCCACTTTAGCTCAGAATTATTTACCTACTTATTTAATTAACACGGTAAAATTGTTTGAAATGACAGGAAAACTTTGAGTAAATTCTTTTGTTAATTAGAATTGTAATTGTTATTCATTATGTTATTAATTAACCGATTTAATAATTTTTTTTTGCTGTTATATTTCGCTGTTTTTGTATCCGGTAGATGCAGTGGCGTATCTAAGGGAGGGGTTATTGAGTGTAGTTCACCTCTGATCTCAGTTATAAAAGGGAATGTTATTGCAAAATATATAAAAACCGATAGGGTAGAGGTGAGATTTCCTATAAAGTTTTTATTATCGATTATTATTGAAATTATTGTAATTACGTTTAGTTATTTTGAATACTTTTCTACAGGGGGTTTTTTGTTGCAGGGGTTAAAATAACTTTTGTAAATGTTTTATTCACAATAAATTTTTGCAGTATAAACACACTTCCAAAGAAGACGTTAAAAAAATCTCCTATAAAATATATCTACCTACCTCTCCCATTTACTTATAATAATTTCTAAAAATTAACTATTTACGATATACTTTTTCTCTCCCATAAGGTAATTTTTATTTCATATCCTGTGCAAGTTTTATATTATGAATGCTTTTCTATATTCTATCGTAAGTATAAGTCAAAGTCAATGTCATGATTATTAAAAACTAAAGTGATAATCAACTATCCAACTAACGTTTTATCTTTGATGATGAATAAGCTATCAAAAAAATAAAGATAGTTAGTCGACCGTTTAAGCAAGCTCTGTAAGACGGTCAGTTGGCTTTTGAAACGTCGGAGTTTTAATGGGTCGCAAGTTATTGTGTTAAAAATTGTACATTTACTATAATTATTTGGTGTTTGTGATAAAGACTGACCTAAAATTTAATGCTTTGAATGCAGGGAAATGTTGCTAGCGTATGCTTTTGATGTAACTGTAAGTTTGAAATGTTTGATAAGATATTATACGTATACCTAGTATATACTATAAGTTTCGGCGGTTAGTTGCTAGATGGAGACTGCTGGTTTAGGTGGAATCTAAAATTGTATATCATCAGTGTTCAAGGACATAATAACGCAAAAAACATTACATATCGATAAAAGTTAATTAAGCCCAGTATGTATTTTTTAGGGTGGTAGGTGGTACGTAATTATTGACGAAACTAAAACAGTGGCATCATCAGAATGAATTTACACACTTGACTATTTATAGCTATTTATATTAACCAGGTTGCACTTCCCATTTGGTTTTTCAAAATCACCCCTTTTTTTATAATATCTCTAGACTTAGGTATGTTGTCTATGTAAAATTTTATAATCAAATTTAAAATATGATTATTGCTTATTGAATGTGCTAAAATTAAAAATGGCGTTGCACATTCAAAACAGTTAATTGCTTCAAATAAATATGGATTTAATTAATGTACCAATTGACCAATTTTATTTCTATTTGTATTAACATGTTTTTATATTGAAAGTTTGGCGATTTTATTAAATGTTAAGACTTGTTAAAGTTGAAATATACTTCCATTCACTATTTAATAAATCGATAACATTAATGTTTAAAACGTTTACGAGCTACGTACGCTTATGGCATAAAGTGTTGATAACTAATTATATTGCAGAAAATGCGTACATATCACATTAAGAAACAACTTTAATTGAAATGTTTTCGTAAAATGATATGTTAAATAACTGATTACAGGACAAACGGTTTTTTTATTGCGTTTAATTTCTTTTTGCTTCTTCGGTATGATGTTGGTTTGATTTTAATTTGGAAATTTCGGCAATTTTAAATGAGTATCTACACAATTATTTGTTACCAGAGGAATTTTGTTATTTTTTTAATTGGGTCATTGCATGGAGAAAATTACTACAAAGCACAGTTTGATATCTAATTCCTTTTTTATAGTTTGTTTCTGACCTTGCAAAAAAATTTTAAGAATTTTCATTCACAGTTATACGCGTTGTAACATTAATTACGAAAAACAACAATTAAGTAATATTAATTACCTAGGTATTCGAAAATTTAACTATTAAATATTAGTTTTTAGAAAAGTGCTAATTTTCAAATATTTCTATATTTTAGTATCAAAAACTGACAATGCCTTTTGGACCTCCATACAATTGGGTTACACGGCAACCATGCAGGGTATTTATTCAAAGTAGAAAAAGGAGACTGTTGTAAATAGTAATTAATTAAATATTAAAAAGAAGACTCGCCCCTAATTACCACAAAAACTTTTATTTGAGCGGACACGTGTTTCACCCAGTTCATACGTGGGCATTATCTACTTTTTTTTATTAATACGTTTACTAATACAGAGTGGATGTGCGGGTATGATGTTAAAAGTANTTGGCGCTGTTTATTTATTTATGATATTTCATTTGAAAAAAGCATATAATAATTTCCATTTTTTTATAGACGAAATATCAAAAAATTATTAGTTTCATTAAAATTCCAGTTCGATTTGTACGAAGATATTGCAAGTTCGTTTTTTCTTTTAAAGATAGTGATAGATGCAATAAATGGTCGAATAACTCATTGATCTATATAAGAACAAAGGCTTTCACGGCCCGAATCTTCATTCTACTAACTCGTTGATCTTTAATTATTGAGTTTCTCACATCAAATAATACTAAATCTGTCAATGCTTTTTTTGACGAAAAATTAATAATAATTAGTTGCTTATAAACAATGGTACACCAAGGAATAGACAAAAGGCTAAAGGACGGAGTCAGTTGACGCAAATTTTCGTTCAACTACTTGAAAAAGTTGGAAACTTGAATTGAAGAAGTGAATCCTCTGTCACAATAACTTCTGGTCAAAAAACTCATCAGCCAACTGCTAGCCATCATATTAATCAAACACTTTTCGCAAAAGATAAGAAGCAAGGCAAAAATTCACCACTTGACATCCGCACACATTAATATGTGAATGACCAGGTCACTAAGGTTGTACCAACGTTTGAATGCTGGCTGTCCATTGTTTATATTCTACTAATTATCATATATGCATTTCGATTGGTCTGATATAATTCGATGTATAAGTAAACAACTAATTAAACTTCCACAAATTTTTATTATTTTGACGACCGTTTCGCCACTTTGTGACTTCTTCAGAAGATACACTACTAGATCTTAAACCTATTAGATAAAAACTAAAACTTAAAAAAACTTTTGGGTGTTTCATTCCCACCAGCTAGTAATGCTGGTGGGCGGGCAGTCCCTCCGGACTATGCCGGAAGGTAGGGCGGAAGGCCCTCTTCAGCCTGCTTTCAGGAATCGTGGGAATGGGTGGGTGGTGGTTCGGGTGAGAAAGATGAGACGGACGAAATGAAGACAGAAGAGAATGAAAGATTATCTGTGGAATATTACTGCCTCAGCATTTGCCTAAGTGATCCAAGGAAACCACAGAAAAACTTGGACCAAGGCAGACGGACCCGGAATCGAACCGGCGTCCTCCCGAATGCTAAGCAATGGTCTAGACCTCTAGGCCATGCCGCTCGGCCTACTAGATACTTCTTCTATATATAATTATATATATTAAAATGATTAAACTAAGGTGGGGGGGTTTGAAGGGATGAGGCTTAATAGTGGGGAATTATTTAATTCTATTTTATCATTCAATGGTACATTTTTTTACATATTTTTCAGTATATGTAATGTGGTAAATTCTGACTTTAAATATGTGCTGCATAATTAGGATTGTTTTTTAATTGTTTAAATGATCTAATGTGTTCATTAATACGTTTTCTGAATAATCGCCTGGTTTGCCCTTTATAACATTAGTTGCATAAGCCGCATTCTAATTTGATGAGAAATGAGTTATTTGATTTTGAAATCGCCCACTTATTCTATTTATCATCATCTGACGATCATTCACTTTTAACGCTAGAAAAATTGTTCATGCGTAGTGAAATAGGGATGTCAAAATATTAAAACTACAATGTGTGAAATTTACATAAATCGCAATTACTTTTGAAAATAAAATTTACTGTTTATAATAACAGTCTTAAAACGCAATTTAAAACAGAAAAGAATTAAAAATTTCATTCTATTCATTAGTGATGTCGACTAGAAAAAATTTATTGTTGGTTATTAGAAGTGCGTAGGTATTACATAACGATTGAATTTTTAAACATAAAGCTGATAACCTACACAGGTATAAAGATTATAGAAGTGATTGAAAAAAAGGACTGCGATTTGTGAATTTGTAAACAAATGTACACCCATACTATTTAACTAATAAAATTAAACAAACTCAAAAAAAAAACTATAAAAGGAAGTCGTAAACGTAGACCAAATTTGCATGTCACCTTCATAAATTTTGTTCGTTTTTAATTAGACGATATTGATTTTCGATGAGTTCATTATAGATAAAGTAATAATTTTATGTGCCGGATCCCAATTAAGTTAATATTATATAATAATAATTTATTGTTCAACTTATGGAGTTGATCAACAAAACTACGAAATTAAATGGATTTTACCTTCAAAAATTTAAAAATCGCCGATAGTGATAGGAATTTACTTATTTTATAAAATGCCAATGTGTTTATGAATGATTACTATTTTTCAGTTCTAATCCTTTAATAAGATATTAAATAATCCAGCTACTGAAGTGAGTTGGGGGGGGGGGCGGTGGGAACGGGAAACCTTTTTCACTCATCCGAAGGATAGCAAGTTTTCTACCATTTTTACGGTTCTCAATTAATTAATCAGTTAGGGGAATATTGATAAATTATTTTAAATTTGCTTCTTCATAACAATATCTAGCAGTTTTCATAATCTTCATCATCATAAGGTCGTCAGTCCTAAGACTGGTTGGACACGCACCTCCACTCTTTCCTATCTTGAACTAATCTTCGCATTTCTCTAAAACTAGAACAACCCACATCCTTAACTATTTGCGAACAGTAATCTAATCTAGGTCTACCTCTAATAAAATTTAAAATATGTAGGTAATTTGTATCGAACATTTCTTATGCTTTTTTTAATAATTTCTTTTCTAATTACGGAATTTTAAGTCTCGGACATCTACATATAATATAGATTTCAATTAGGTAATGAAACGAAGTTGTAGGTAATAAATTAGGTAAATTTTAATGGTTGTTTATTTCACCTATCAAATAAATAAGTGATTGAAGTCAAATTTAAAATTTTAATTTCGCAATTGCGTAAATGCAAGAAATATAAATTACACTTGCAGTTTACAGACGACATACAAAAAAAATATAATGTTCAAGGTACAGGAGATATGAGCATCGCCATCTACCGATGTTTTCTGCAAGCTGTATTATTTTATATGTTTGGTACGGACCTTCGTAATGGATTAAATGAAACATTTCGAACTTCTAGGTAGTGTTGCCATGATACCGTGTCTGTATAACTTAATTACTAACGTTTCGCTTTGCTTGACATAAGATATCTTCAGTGCGTCTACCCTGGTCCAAGTTTTTATGGAGGAGTGCCTGCCCAAAAGCATTAGTAGCTGGTGGGAATGAAACAATGGATCAGGTCATAGTCGGCTTTTTTTGCATAGACCCATAGACTAAGAATGAGCCACACCACTGTAAATTTTAAGTAAAACCACAAGTTTATAATCTTATATATAACAAATTCATACCTACCTGGGCAGAAAAAGTAAACAAGTTTCAAAAAACACATTTATTTCCTTCCTTTTCGACACCTCTCCGCCAGGAAGTGACATTTTCTTAGTTAAATGATACCTTTATCATTTTCTTTGGGCCACTAAATGAAAACGCAGCATAATTTTCAATTAAGCAAAGAACGTCTTTGGTTTTAAATTTTACGTTTTATCGATATATCGGGTTAATATTCAAAATGCGTCAGCATATGGACCAAAACTTTTACTGCATGGGCAACATCCACCCAAGCATTAAGTATCAGAATAAAAGTTTTTACAACCTGGTATCATTACTACGTTTTTTCGAAGCTCTGGTCAGAGTATATTAAACAAAAACGGGTATACAAAACAGACTATTTCCTATCCCGAGCTAATCTTCGCATTTCCCTAAAACTAGAACATCCCACATCTTTAACTGTTTGTGAACAGTAACGTAATCTAGGTCTACCTCTACTCATCCTAACTCCTGTTTCTGCTTCTAATATGTCTCTGACTAGACCTTCATGCCTGAGAAGGTATCCTATCAACCTATCTCGCCTATTTCTTATTGACTTCCATAGAGTCCTCTGTTCTCCTATTCTTTCTAATACCTCTTCATTTCTACCCTTCTCTATCTACGGTATCCTCATCACTCGCCTGTAACACCACATTTCAAACACTTCTAACCTTTTCTTTTCCACCGCGCCCACTGTCCATGTTTCGCACCTGTACAGTGCCGCACTCTACACATACACTTTTAACAATCTTTTTCGAATTTCTAAATAAACCGTTCGCGAGCATAGAAGCGACTCCATCCGTCCTGACTTCCTAGATAGGTACCTAAAATCAGTCATTTCTTCTAATTTTTCGTCTCCTATCTTTATATTCGCCCTTTCCCTACTTTTTCTTCCCTTGCAAACCAGTATTTTTGTTTTAGCATTATTTATTTTTATACAATACTGTTTTGACAACACCTCTTTCATTTTATTTAAAGCTATCTCTAATTCCTCCTTGCTAGATGCTAATACTGCTATATCATCTGCAATTCTAAGCATACTAATCTTTTGTCTCTGTACATATATTCCTACAGTTGTACTGTCTTTAATGATGTTGTTAAGTAGCGGTGTAGTATGCACTACAAAATTAGTGATTGCCTATATATCTTTATTATATTACTTTCAGAATTAAAAACAGTTTTTCTGACAACTTCGTGGCTTTCTATGCTAATGTTTTGATTCTTCGATATTCACTTCATTTCCAAAAACATTAAGACGCTAAAGAAGAATAAGCTAAAAAGATTTGTTACGAATTTTATTATAAATAATAATACAAAAAATCGTTGTGCAATGTGCCGATATTTTATCAACATTTAAATAAATACATCCTAAAGGGTATAATAACAATAATAATAATGACTTACCAAAATAAGTAATTGTACAGAAAGAATCTTAAACGTAGTTATCACTGTTCATAAATGTGTAAGAATTACATTTCCTGACACTTATTAGACAGAAACCCAGATTATAATTACATCTAGTAACACAGTTCTAGTATTGTCTACAATCTCTAATCGACATAAAAGAAGAATGGGTAATTTCAGGAAACTGCCTCCTTATGATTTCCACATTGCACTTAGTAACAATAATAATAATTAATAATAATCAATCCTAATATAAATTATTTACAAATCACAAAGAAGAATTAGGTGCTAAATATTATAGACGTTACTCTTAGTTAAGAAGTAATTAGGTTTAATCTAATAATTAGTAACCTACTTAAGTCATTTTGTACTGAACAAGATGTATAGATCCATGGTACGATGGTTTAGAAAAAACGGAACTGTTGTAAATTGTGTGTGGAAACACTATGAAAACTGTAGGCACCCCATATAATATCAAACAGTTGTTTAATATTGATTGCTTTAAAACCTGACTGCCAGCAGTTCGGTTTTTAAAACGTTAGATTAAACCCGGTACCATTTTGACCATTCTTGATTGTTTTACTCATCACCTAATACATTAAAATAGCCTAATCAAGGTGACGAGAGTTTCCGTTTCAATGTACAATACGCGACTATCCTCAAAACGATTATATTTACACATAAAGCCCCTATACTTGTCCAATAGGTGTCGTCCGCCATTCCAATTTCCTTTAGAAATACATCTGGTACCCGATAATGGCAATATTCTACATCTTCGGGACAAGGTATCGGCCCTCGCCCTCTTCCGTATATCGACTGTACCAACCCTTGTAACCCATACCGAATATAAGACAAGTAAGATGCTACATAAAAGACATTCGACATGTGGGTCAGGAACACCAAGAAACCGCCCATAACAAGCATGAACGCCGTTAGAATTGCACCCAAAAACGTTCCATTCTATAAAAGAAAATCTTCTTCAGTAAATTATTCTTAACCAACACTGAATTGAATTTTAAATCATAAAAGAATGGTGTAGCTAAGAACCGTTGGACGAAGAGAATATTGGAGAATATCAAAAAACAATGCCATCTACTGATATTTAGTGCTAACTGTCATATTTCAAATGTTTGACAAGGGCTTTACGAATGACACCTTTGTTTAACGTTTTTTATTTTCTATTTGCATTTTAAATGCAAGTACTTCCAATAAATCAGTTCTCTGTAAGTTTTGTCTGAAACCTGGGGGTGGTTTTTTTTGGAATAATATTCTTGTACTAGTTAAAATAATAGTAAAAAAATGAACACCTCAATAATATATAGTCTTATGAAAACCAAACTTTGTAAATAGTATAGATTCAAGTGAATCTATGTATTGCAGTAGAAAAATCATAGTTTTGCAATAAGTTATCTATCTGATAAACATAAACCAAGTTGTTAATAAAGAATAGTTGTTTCGAACTTACTAATTTGCATAAGCACACCACAGGTGACGCTGATTATGTTGTCACCACTTATTCATTGAACGCTATTTAATGTAAGAAGTGAGTGGTGATGAGAACTAAAGAATCCGAAATCGTAACCCACGTCTGACATCAAAATGTCGATCAAGACTGAAACCCTTTTTGTTACAGATAATCATAACTATTAATTTTATTTTCAATGTGACATGGTTTATTATCTCATGTAACATTTTTTTTGAGGATTTGTAAAATTTACAAATTAGTTTAAATAAAGGTTTCAGCTTTTGGAAAAATAGTTAGATATATTGAATCAAAGAAAGAGGTATGTATTTACTTACCACAGGGTTGACCACGGTTCCAAAGAATAATCCAAAACTACCAGCTGTTATATTAACTAATACGCACATTCCCAAAAACATGGCAAACCTTGACAGTTCCATAGGCTGTTCGCTCATAAAATAGGATATACCAACGGATACAGTTGCAAACAGAAACTGTAATATGATTTAAAATTTTATTAGTATTTATTTAATAGAAAAATTATGATAAACCTACTTGCTGTGGAATATCAACGGTGAAAAAGGCGGCATAGAAGGTCTTAAGTTTATACCAATTGTTAAAGCGTTCTTTTCTTAATACTGGTAGTTCTGAAGGAACTGAAACAAAATTGTAAAGCTACTTGAACGTTCAGGGTGATTACAAAACATAAATTAAAACAAATATAATGTTGTTTAGATCAGGATACGACCCCCAATCCTTGTACATCATTTTAATGTTGTGTTTTAGAACTTACATTTAAGTACTGCGGGCATTATCGCTGTGTAACAAAAGTATGTAACTACAACAGTTAAGTAGCCAAAATTGCTAATGGTTCTTGAGGCATCATTGCCACACCTGAAGTAAAATAATCCTAATAGGGCACCAACGAAGGCATGGAGAGCCACCCTGAGATACAGTTCTGTCTGCAAAAGAAATATAGCAATAATAACTTTGCTTCAAGGGCTTTTGGAACGAAGTTTCTCTATGCTGGCTCTAAATTCTCTAGATTTAGGGAAATTTCCCTAGGTCTGACAACGCTGGCCAAAAAATCGAATGAGTTAGTGGACATCTCTCTCCCTTTTACTTACTGCTTGCGGAGAGTGAAGGAGAGAGAGTTGACGAGGGAGATTCGATTAATCTCTCATCTGGTAAATGTATCCAGTAGGAATTATTTTTAAAAGCTTCAGGAGCTAACCTGTTAGTAACAACCGACACTCCTCAACTTGCCATTTCTAAATATTGTTACCAGAACAGCATAAGAAACTTTGTTCCTATCGGATGTCCCACGATATCACAATTTTATATATGAATAAAAGACTTACCCAGTCTCTGTACATTTGTATGAGGAATCTATTTAACAATATCCAATATCGTAATATTTCAGAAGGAGGATAAATTAAGATCATTGTTTTATTGATGTCTTGATCGGTGTTGTTGTTGTTATTGTTGCCTTGTATGTACAGATCGCGATTGGCGTTTTTCCATTCTTCCAGTATCTCTACAATAGATTAAAAAATGTTTGATTGATGCTTTTTATTTAATTAGCAAAGTTTTTGATTAAAACAGTTGCATGAACGTTCAAGTTGTCGTTAACAAATAGATATTATTATTATCAAGGCGTTTTTGAACCGAGTTGTAGGAATGTGTTTCATTAGAGATAATTTAGTCAATATTCAAGATTAATGTAAACCTTTTTTTCAACGTTTGTTTCACTTTAAAATATAGTTTTCATAATATTTCTATCTAACTAACTATACAAAGTCTTCTTTGCTAATTCTACTCTAGAGGATGGTTCAAGTTATTTTCATCTTATAAATACAATTCCTAGCTAAGTTTATGTAGTTTTTAGCTATTTTTATCAGAGATTTTTTAATTCTTAGCTAATTTTACCCTGGGGATAGGACTCGGTGTGTTCGTAATTCCTCGTTATTTGTATACCGTTTGGTATTGTAAACGAATGTGTATTATAATTTTTTTACCTTAGATTTTTGCATTTCTTTGAGTAGAGTAGGGACTTGGTATATTAATTTATATAATTTTATAAGAAACGCAATTTGACACGGGCGGGAATCGAACCCTCAAACCGCTTGCTCTGCATTGCAACACTGCCTGTTACGTTACTCTCTTCACCATTTACAATGTTGCTTCTCAATAACGTTACAAAGCATTTCTTTTTAATATTGTATTAATACCTACAGCGACGATGAAATAATTAAATTCTTACTTTTTGGTGGGGTTGAGGACGTCCTCCATTTGCTTTCCTTTGCAGTCTTGGCCAGCTCTTGAGTAAAATCTCCATACTCTCCATTGGCCACTTCTAACACTGTAACAAATGATAAATGTAAATATGAATTACGAAGATATTTATTAAGTAGGCATGTACTTACAAAAATCGGCGGGATTATGATATTGGGGGCAATTAAGACCATTAGCAGCCAAATAGGCCACGGTGTTCGTACTGGCCCCCTGGTAAATACAACTTCCGGCAGACATGACGTAAACTTGGTCAAACATTTCATAAATTGTGGCACATGGTTGATGGATTGTGCAAATTATTGTTCTCCCACCCCTGGCTAAGGCTTTTAACATGCTTATGCACTGGAGGGACGACGAACTATCTAAACCACTGTAAAATAAATTGAAATTTTAATTCGTTTTGCAACAAAATGAATAAAACTGTTCTCTTAATAAATAATCACAAACAATCAACTGAGAGATTTACCATCAAACGGGGGCTAATTGTTGCATGTACAAAATCAAGAACCTATTGTTCTCTTAATATTCAAAATTTTGGTATTTCGTCTTCTGTTTCACAGGACATCTTAAGGATTTTTTATCGTCAGTCGATTCACATTCCTAATCATTTGCGAACAGTAAACTAATTTACATCTAACTCCCCGCTCTCATGTTTCTGCTTCTGATATGTCTCTGACTAGCCCTTTATTCCTCAAAAGTTATTTTACCATTCGTTTCTAACGCCAGATTTTAAAAGTTTCTATTTTTTTACGTTATCCTTTGTTTTCTTTTTTCATTCCTTTTTCAATTTCGAAAATCGATGATGTCTAGTTTTTCGTCCCACAGATATTACGAAAGTTTAAAGAGGTTTAACATTTGGATTTATAGTTTTCATAGTTTCACTGTTTATTTTGAAATATATTTGAAGACGTAACAAATGCTGTTTTTAGGTATTTGGAACACTGGTATCGAGATAATTGAAAAAATAAATACATAAATGACTCAATAAAACTTTGTATGGTACATATATATCTATTTGTTGATTCAATTACGAATGTGATTAAATAATTACCGAAAGCCGTTAACAGGATGTTAACCCCTTACGACAGTGCATGTTTTAATATGTTACTTATATAACATAATTATGCAAATTACTGAGAAGATTTTAAATGGCAACTGTAATCCTTATTGATATTCAGATTTGTGTTTATTATTAAAGTTACACTAACAGTAACATTTTAAGAATAGCGTTTAGAAGTTTAGAAAAAAATATATTTTTAGCATCCACTTATTAGTACACATAGAATAATGATGAGAAAAATTAGAAAAGTGATGAAAATGCTAATTTTCAGTGACCTTAGATGAGAAGGTCCCGAGTAGGCTTTATAACGAGCCTAAAAGCATCAAGTTTGCTTGTCACAAACTTTTATTGCTTCTGTTATTTATATATTAGATTAAACAGATTGTATTTTTTATGGTTAATTACATATTTATTCACAGTATAGGCAAGAAGAGATATTTAAGTCTAAATGTATTTTATCTAACGTAATGTTGATAGTAAAAATTTTATGAGGTATTTTAATTCAATTGGATAATTTAGGCATTTAACTAATATTGTACAGGCGCTATGACGTACTTTATCTATCATAAGAAAATAAAAATAAAAACCTGTTGCATGGCTCAATGGAATCTTTTTTATTTTTGCGGAAAATGGTACAGTATTTTTAATATAAGTTGTGACGCAAACGAAAATACGTGAGTGAAGTAAACGGAATGAAATGAATAAAATTCTATTTAATTTTAATTAAATTAATAGGAAATAAGAAGTCCCATTTTGTAAAATTACATGACGCTTCTGCTTGTAATATTAATTTATTCTTTTTTAATTAATTGCTAACATTAGCTCTAGTTTAACTGTTGATGTTTATGAAATTACATCAATTTCTATTTTTGTTTCAGGTATATAGGAATTGCTTCAACTTTGAGTGGTATGTATTTAATATTCTTTATTTTCATAGGTAGTGTATTTATGAGATAAGTATTTTCAGTAGAACTTACTCCAATAATAATATTTGATATTTATTGACATGGTTTGATAAAGATTTAAAAAACAAGGAATTGAAATATGATTTTTTTTACCATAAGTACTCATACCGAAAGTACGATGTTGTTATCTGATTCAAAGGACGAAAGGGTAAACATTCCCTTCCAGGTAACAAATTGCATTTACTCATTATTATTAGGAATGGATTTTACCATTCCCCGCCTGGTTTCTACCCAGGGATATTTCCATGCAGCAGTTTCCACGAGAAGAATGTTAAAATATTGACATTCTTGTCCATGAATTCAGGAAAAATCATATTCTCGGGGCAGGAGTACGTTAAAAAATGATATAGGGATCTCGGAAAGAATGTACGACATCCCCTCCTGCAAGTTTCCTTGGTTTGGATTACAATTCACACTTGGGAGGTAATGCCGTACGTTCTTCACTTGGTGCTGTCTAATATATAGTTATCACTTACGTGGTGGGTTCATCTAGGAACATAATGGGTGGATTGTCTATAAGTTCTAAAGCTATTGATAGTCTCTTCTTCTGGCCTCCAGACAACCGTCCACATTTGGTTTCTTTACATACAGAAAGGCCGATTGTATCCAAAATGTCATCTATCTGTAACAAAAGAAATTAATAGTAGTAATACTTATATAATGTTTTCTTATTAAGTAACGTTGAAATCAGAAGAGCATTTTGTTATTATTTAAATCTTTTTTTAAATGAGTATAGTAAGATATCATCGGGTAAAACCCCTTATCTTCTAATCTATTTCTTATGGTACTTCCGTAGTTAGACTTCGTCCCCTCTTATGTCGCAGGTGGTTGTTTTTGTCGTCCATTTTGGTTAACATATCCTGTCAAAGAGTAAGTGCCTTTTCCGAATGATACCCTACTGAGTATAGACAACACTAAATAGATGGTTGAGGTTCGACAAATTGCCGAACCAGAACTGAATATTCTTTTTTTCCTAAATATTTTATTGAATAAATATTTGAACCATTTCAAGTAAAAACAAAAATGTTTCTGATTAGAATCTGTCCTTTTGGCAGTCATTTGTCGCTGCCTTTTCAATTTCAGATCTTCTGAACTTTTATTTTCAATTTTTAATAGCAATTCGCTTGTTTCAATCTTCTCGTATTCCCAGAAAATGGTTTGTATCTCTAGGGATAAATTGCTTAGTGGTGGGAGCACATTTTACGATGTATTCATTGCTTTTTTTGTAATTATATTACTGTGTTACTTTGTTGTTACTGATATCTTTAATGCATAATCAATTCAAAAACAGTTGCAAGTGACTATTATCACGTATTACTCGTCTTTGTCTGTTTGTAATCCTTGTCTATTTTTTTATAGATAAAGGTACATTTGAAGAGTATCATAACGTACTATGTAATAAATACATTATCATTTTGGGCTAGTAGGTCAGAAATAAATAGGAACGATGAGAATTTACTCCATATAATGCTGGAGAACAACAAGTACTTACAATAAATAATTACGTTAATGCAATGTTACAATAATAAGTTTTTGTGTGAAAATATTACGATAAAAGGGAATTTCAAATTTTATAATTAGGAAATTCTTGTGTACGTATTCCAAACTGATCGTGAAGTAAAATATATGGAGTTTTTTAAAAAATTTAATTGATAATTAAATTCTACTGTAAGATTGTTTGTATAATAATATGATCTGCTAATACTTTTTACATTTTTTAATTTATTTTGGTTAAGAAAATCGAAAGTTATTCGGTTAATCTTTACTGGTTTAAATCTTTGAATTGTTTCCTATGTGGACTTTCTATTCCCTTCCTTTGCCTTTTTAGGTCCTCGAGAAATTCATCATTTGGGCTGTGAATTTATAAAGTGTACCATGATTTAGGTCAGATTTCACCTATCGTAACATTTAAGAGAATGATATTCGACCACAGTGTTCTCTTGTAAAATATTCCGCAGTCCCTGGTGGTGTGAGGTAGTATAGGAAAGACGTCCGAATGCAATTTCTTAATAATGTTACTTAAAGTCACATGTGATCTACTAGGTGGATGTCTTTATAATCATTACTTACCAATAACGCTTTTGCTTTTTCGGAAATGCTATAGCCAACTTTTAAATCAGCAGCAATATTCATTGCTTCCGTGACCGTAAAATAGGGTTGTAATTGATCATCTTGTAGGATATAGCAGGATTCTTTTCTATACTGGTCAGCGCCTTTTTTACTTTGCAGTGTTCCGTTGCTCTTTATTGTACCCCCCATGCCAGTCCTGAAAGAATTCATGAGTAAAAACAAAAAATGTTATGTTATTAACCGTACCTAGCCTAACCCATTGCCTATTGACGTATGCAGTTTTTGTTTTAGTTAATCTTATTGAATAGATTGAATAAATTTCCATCACAAACAACTACATAACTACGTATTAAAAAGATATTGCATATCATTGTATTGATGAATTAAGCAAATGGCATGGAACAAATTTCTCAAGTAGATTAAGTTGCGGGGGCAGAGGTCACGTGTTTAATTAAATTTAAATACGTGTGTTAACTTAGACTTGATTACCAATAACCCAAATTTACATTAAATTGCCATTTCAAATTTAGAACGTACCGCCTTTGGTATATTTCTATATACATATCAATTTTAAAATCTTAAAGGTTCATGTTATGGTATTACTTATTGATTTTTTAATAGATAACGTTTAATGATCTTTGCGTGAATGTAAAACTATTCTCCTTTACTAATTTACAGGATTTCAAACTTATTAGTTCTCATCAGGATGCTATAGGCGATTTTGATAAATCACTAACCAAATATAAGTTGCTTCTTATAAAACAAGTTGACATAATATCAAGTTATTACCAGTATATCGCCATCTACTGATATTTACGGTGACTGCAGCAGTTGAAATGATTGTCAAGGCCCTATTATGGAGGTACCTTCTTGTCGGTATTATATTGGAACTGGTTTTATCGTTCTTATTGATTTATTATTTCTTTTTTTAAGTAATTTTCTTTTCTCAGCACATTTAAACAACTCATTACCGAAAATCAATTGTTCAGTTAACAAAAAGCGTCACAGCTATAATACGATAAATTACCTTTTGTTAACACTCCTACAATTCGAGAATATTACCTTTGTATGGTAAACAATACAAACTTAAAATTCGTTTCTACCAACACAACTTATCTTTGGTTGGTATCAAATTAAACGCTGAAAACGTAAAATTGCAGCTTACCTAACTGTAGCTTGAAATATTGAGATCAAAATGTTATCTTCTTACATAATTTATTATATTTATGACATAAATTCTTGTTTGGATATGCACTTAAATGTATGAAGCAATTTGCATCTATAATTTTGAAAACTTACTGAAATCCTGTTAGAAAATTAAGTAGAGTAGTCTTTCCAGCCCCAGAAGGTCCCATTATAGCGGTTAGTTCTCCAGATTTAAATTTTCCGGAAACTCCTTTAAGTATGTGTTTCTTTCCTGCAAAAAAATGTAAATGCTATAAAACATGTACCTAATATGTATGTACTTTAATAACCAAGCAACAAACTATTTCTTCTGAATAAAATATTTCTCGTAATGAATAGGATTAAAATTATCATTCAAGGAACTGCAAATATTTTGGAAGAAGAAGAAAAAGTTCCGATAAACTTTGAATTACTGAATAATCAGTATTTTCCAACTTCCAAGATATTTGTCATTTCCCCAGAGATACCCCTTATATACAAAAATGAGCTTTCATTGCTTTTGAACTGAAATTTTTTTATCGCCGGTACGAACGAAATTTACTACGGTATAAAGCCGAAAATTGTAACGTCACGCGTCACAGCGTCACGCGTCATATGTGACCCCTGGTGGATATGTCCAAAAGGAGTCATTTTAGCAGTCTTCAGAAGCTAACTTGTTAGTAGGTAACAACCAATAATTCGAAAATTGTCAGCAGATTGCCCCTTCGCTGTACTGTATTTGTATTGTATGTAGGTGTATGTTTATGTATACAAGGCAGATGATAATAAAAAGTAGTAAGTTAATAATAACTATTACCGATATCATTGATTTTATTGAATTTATACGTGTTACGTGTTGTTTTTCGTAATGTTGTTGTCTTTAGTATTTACTATGGTTTATATTATAAATAAGGAAATATTTTGTTGGTCTTGATTTGTCAACATAAAAATTCCTGGTACCTATCTATTTTTTTCTTTTATTATTTTTATCGTGTGCTAAACATTTTCTGACCCTGTTGTTCGACACAATGATGTTTATGTATATTAGAGATCATCAAAATGAAAATGGACTCCTCAAAACAGGAAATAAATTACATGGACTGTTCAAAGTTTGCTATTGTTTACTTTATTTTTAATTTTGTACGTAGCCCACCTGATTTGGACAAAGTTCAAAATTTTGCATCTCTGAACCTCGTGAATATATGCTCAAAAATTCCATTCTTTTTCATCATAAGGTCGTCAGTCGTAAGACTGGTTGGACACGCACCTCCACTCTTTCCTATCCTGAGCTGAAGCTCGCATTTCCCTAAAACTAGAACAAGCAACATCCTTAACTATTTCCGAACAGTAATCTAATCTAAGTCTACCTCTACCCCTCCTAACTTCCGTTTCTACCTCTAATATGTCTCTGACTAGACCTTCATGCCTGGGAAGATGTCCTACCAACCTATCTCGCCTATTTCTTATTGACTTTCGTAGAGTCCTCTGTTCTCCTATTCTTTCTAATACCTCTTCGTTTCTAACCTTCTCTATCCACGGTATCCTCATCATTCGCCTGTAACATCACATTTCGAACGCTTCTAACCTTTTCTTTTCCGTCGCGCCCACTGTCTATGTTTCGCACCCGTACAGCGCCCTGCTCCAAACATACACCTTTCACACCCTTTTTCGAATTTCTTAGTTAATATTCCAAAAAAAGAATCCAACTACCCAGATACCTTAATAACTCATACACATATCTTTGTGCACCTTCATACACGTTTTTGATGCCCTAATATGTTTTTGTGTTTTACATAATCACTCCAATAAGAGTATAATTCTAAAAATTAATTGCTTCCACTTAATTAACTACTAATAATATTTTCGTTGAGCTTTTTTGTTTTTCAAAATAGACTAATGGTGATTCTATTAGTTGGAAATCCCATATAGTTTTAATCGCTAAATAAAACAATTAACGATTACTGTTAAAGGCGAACTTGTTAGCAATTGTTGTAATCAATTTTCTATTAAAAATTATTTAAAACTGAATTAAGTAAGTGTTCAAAAATGTGTTGATGTAATAAAAATTTTATTTAACGAGGGGAATTTTCCGAACCATACAAAAGAATATAAAGTAATTTTTTAGTTAATTTGGGTACGATCAGTCAGAAATTAAAATAATCAGAATTTATATGTTTATTTTGGTAGAAGGTTACATTTAGCCGAATAAACATTTTTTAAAATTCAATCGATTGATACATTAACAGCAAAAAATTAAGTCTTCTTCCTCATGACTATTACCAAGGACGTTGTGTCCAGTTCTGCTTAAATACTTTCATTATAGAGATACTAAGTAATTAAGGAGAATTTTTAAGTAAGGTTATAGTGAGAGAGGATGTTAGGAGGATCGCCATGATTAAAATTCATGCGGTATGCACCATGCGATCATTACTCGAGCTTAATTGTTTTTCCCAGTAAACCATAATAAAGACTAACTGTTGACAATGACACGCCCAGCTTCATTATTTCATTTATAAAATGTTCGGTTTCTTAAGATTCTCGACCGAGCGGAATGGCCTAGAGGTCTAGACCATTGCTTAGCATTCGGGAGGACGCCGGTTCGATTCCGGGTCCCTCTACGTTTGTCCAAGTTTTTCTGTGGTTCCGTGGATCACTTAGGAAAATGCTTGCGCAGTAATATTACACAGGTAATCTTTCAGTCTCTTCCGTCTTCATTTCGTCCGTCTCATCTTCCTCACCCGAACCACCACCCACCCATTTCCACGATTCCTGAAAGGGGACTGAAGAGGGCCTTCTGCCCGACCTTCCGACGTAGTCCGGAGGAACTGCCTTCCCACCGGCATTACTGGCTGGTAGGAATGAAACAACCAAAAAGATTTTAAAAGAGATTTTCGAATGAAATACAATTTTTTGTTGCATTAATTAAAAAGTAAGTACTTGCTAATGCTCTAGATGTTCCATTTTTTTAGCCATTAAATAAATTTAATGTTGCTTAATATTACAAGCGTAGAAGGACATGCTTTCGTTTCCATGTGCTTCTTTTTCTTCGAAAAGGATAAAAAAAATCAGTTTTTACGTTTCGAAATTAAAGATAGCAATGTTTAGTATATTTTGTTATACATGCAGACAAAATGAAGACAGATAAGAGTTGATAACAAAGTTCCTTTTTTATCGGATGTTTGTTCCATTGACGGATTCAAATACATAAGCAAATATTGTTCCGCAATGTCTAACACGTGTTCGCAGAGCCAATACCCAGACCAAGTAAAACGTGTGCATGTTGACATTATCACATTATGTCCATAAAAATGTTTTTCGTAATTGTTACGTCACGCAAATAAACATGTGACACAATTTTTCCTTTTTTTTTACTCCAAGAATGAGACGAGATCCGTGTAATTTCTACAGATCTCAAAAACCACATTTTGGCAGATACTTAGCTACTGATTCAGATGATTTTCTTAAACAGGTATGATCAAATAGGCGTTAAATATTTTGAGGGTTTTACAAAGAAATTTTATTATTTCATGTATTGAAGAAGAGTCCCTAAAAACTGTCCTTTTGGTCCTGTCCAAGCAATATCGTTTAGGTAGGCATCTATCTTTACCGCTTTTGTCATCATACTAGTTAGTGACCAATGAGTTAACTACTTCAAATGTTTTTGTGGTCGCAATTGTTTTGATTGTATATTTATTGTATAATAAGTAATTAATGTTGTAACATCGTCTTCAACTAATAGTTAGAGAAACCCCGATCCTTTCACACCTCCTTAACTTAAACTCTACAAAATCCACAAATAAAACTTTTTCCTCTGGTGTTTAACTTTTGTTTTTCGTTTTCAAATCGGTTTTTGTTTTGTATTTTCATTGACTACTTACTGAAAATCTTTAATGAAGTAGAAGATTGTCCAATACTTTTTGAAACTTAGTATCTGGTGATTCAATTGTAATTATTTCTAAAAATTCTCACACATAGATTGTGTATTTTTTGTTAGAAATTAGATGTCATCTTGTACAACTAAACGAAAAGTTATACAAAATTGTGAAAGAAACTGTATGTCTCACAGAATATTTTATTTTACTAGTTTTCTATTCATGTTTCAAATATGGAATATGCCAACAAATGGGAAATGTATATTGACTTTACGCTATCGTTAATCAAATATACCACTTCAAGTAACACATCAATTTTATGTATACAAATACAATGAAAATCATAAAAAATATCCTGGAATCAAGTAAACAAAAAACTTATCCATAATGTAATGAAGTTCGTTACATTATTATGAATAAGTTTCAACAATAAACAAAAACCATTAAAATTAAGAGGGGTACAGCTTTTAAAACTTAAAATGGAAATTAGGTAATTAAGGAAGTTGTAAATCAATGTAGTAGGAAAATGGCTTCGTCCTTGGAAATTATTTTTTAATCACGTCAGTAATCTTTGGACTATAAATACTAAATTCGTGCCCATAAAAACATTTGCATTTACTTATTAACATTTTCTCCAAATAAAACATCAAAGCAAATGTAAGAGTTTTATCCTAATTTATTACGATTAATCATACAAAAATGTGCATTAAGTAACTGGTAATATATTGCCATCTGTATTACGACTAACTGCGGTATTATTCATAAGGAATTTACTAAGGCATCGACTTGTTAAACTGAAAAACTTTTGGGTGTTTCATTTCCATCGACCCTGAACTCTGGTGGGCGGACTAAGCAGCAGAGACTGCTTCAGCCTTCCTTTAGGAATCATGAGAATAGATGGGCAGTGTTTAGCATGAGAAAGAGAGATAAACGAAGTACAAATAGAAGTGAACGAATATCTGTAGAATATTTTTAGGAAACTACAGAAAAACATGGACCAGGCAATCGGAACCGAATCGAATCGGCGTCCATCCGAATGCTAAGCAATGATTTAAACCTCTATCAGGTCACGCCACTCGGTACCAAACTGAAATCTGTAGGGTGTTTTATTTCTACCAGCCATTAACGCTGGTGAGTGAGTAGTCCTTCCGGACTAGGCCGGAGGGGCGAAACCGATGAGACTGACGGAATGAATTAGTAGAGAAGTGAAAAACTATCTGTAGAATATCCTTGCCCCAGCAATCGCCTGAAATACTTAACCGTAGGATATTTCACTTCCACTAGTTACTGACGCTGATGGGTGAGGAGCCCTTCCGAACTAGGCCGGAGGGTAGACCGCAAGTTTCTCTTCATGGGTGGGCTGTGATTAAGGCGAGAAAGA